TGTGGATGCTTAGATCATATGAGTTCACATGGCATTTCCTATCCTTTATTTTTAGTTTTTCAAATGAAGACAAAGCAACTCCAATACTCGCCTCCCTTAAACTTTTTGAATACCATTGACTACTGTGCTCATTTTTTAACAATTCAGTTGGGTGTTTTCGACAAAAGTCAAATAAGAGATGATGTTGGCATGTGGCTATTAACTGCTGTCTGTAAGAGATGGTGTAGGTGTTGGCCAGTGATGCCCCTGTGGTAGAGATATCCTGGGCCTAGGATGAGCATGTATTGCCTAGAATTAGGAGTGTTGGAGATGGCGTCGCATACATCACAATCACTTCATTCTACATGGACTGTTAATTTGTTTTATAAAGATAATATTTGGGCTGGTTTTCTTTGGATCTTAAGCATGATGAGCTGTTTGGTCTTCTGCTTGTATTAAGAGAAATGCTGCTCTACCAGGCCTTGTACAGGCCCTCTTACAAACAGGGGGTCCCACATTATTAAAAAAATACCTCAAAAATATCCACCCCACCCCTATACATGAGAGGGCCTGTACAAGGCCTGGTAGAAGAGGTCTGGCAGAGCAGCATTTCTCTCGTATTAATGTGACTAAAACTACTTTGGCTTATAACGTGGTTGTGTGCTTTCCTGGCCATAAGTTATTCTATATTTTTTTTGTGCCTGGTGTACTAGCCATTTGCCTTAGTTGTTGGGCCCTAAAGTCACGTTCCTTGAGTTATAGGGCCTTGAAGCCGCAAATTGGTCCGACTTGTGCTCGCAGTCCAATGGGCTGGTAAATTAGCTGTTTTTTTCTTTCACTGATTGGAGGTTAGGTTTTACCCTCTTATTTATTTTTTTCTATTTATAAATACTCCATCCTAGAGGTGATTTGACTAAAAAATCATGTGAAGAATATAATAGTTTTTCTTATGTTCTACATATATAGTTTACATAACATTCTATACAGCAACAACACACTGCCTTATTTTCAATAGATTTGTGTTGGCTACTTGAATCATTTTCTTCAATACATTTAGCTCATCTCTGCATATCTCGGAAGATCCAGTTGTTAGAATAACATTCTCTCACACGATTGATTTATCATTATGTACAACCTTTGTCTTCTCTGAATTTACTTGTCCTTGATGTCTTGATAGATTTTCATTGAAATATTGCCTTGTCAGCTCATTTGAACGCCATTTTTGGTCGGGTGGTATTTGGCCCTTGTATTCTGCGTTTTCTCTCAAATGTCACCGTGAGGTCATTCATGAAGATAATTGGTTGCTTTAAGTCTGCAAATGTACATGTAGAGGAATTTCTCTTGAACACCTTCCAACTGGCTCTCGCGTAAATACAGTTTATTTAATTAATAATTTAAGAATGTTGGAAGATGGTGATAGGCCCCCGGTGATATTT